TTGGTGTTTGATAAAGTTTTGATCCATACCATTTTCTACATTTGTATAGATTATTTTTATACACTCATACTTTCTATAATACCTGCGGAAGTATTTAAGTAGTATTTGGGTATTTATGGGCCCCATCCAAGTAAACAACAACAAAAAATGTTTATTTTATTCACGAAGGAGCAACTGAAACAAAAAAAAGCTAAATCTCTCATAGAAATGTAAGTATATCAAGTACAAGGTCCAATGTATGCTGTAAAATAAGAGTGTATTTTCCAAAAATGAAGAACAAACAGACACAAAGGCAAGCAATCATATAAAAAAAGACAACCAAAACTAATTGGAGAAAAACAGGAAACTGATGATAAGCCATGTCAGTAAAACTGAAAATAGACTACTCTTTCAGTCAGCCTGAATGGATGGAGATATTAGGTTAAATATAATACAGTGGAGCTTTGCTCAATGTATTTCTCATTCTATTTGGCTTCTGCTGGAAGATCTGGAGGAGGTATCTGGGGATAGGGAAGTCTGGAATCTGCTGTCACCGTGATAAAATGACGAGCATTAATTATTTAGATTGGACCCAGCGTTAGTACTGGACCAATTATTGATGTACAGAATACCTCTCAAATCTCAGAGGTTTTTAGCTCATGTAACAGGAATTTGCTTCTTTGCCTTGTAGGTTGTCCAGATTTATGTCTAAGTCTCCCACATTGATAGACAGTTGTAGTCAACACTTATCAAAAACAGAATATTACTGAAAATATTTTAAAACAGCCACTAAAGCATCTAATTTTATCAAAGATTTTTTTCCGTATTTGTCTTTTTTAAGGGATAAATTTCACCTTTTATGCTGATGATATTCTGCTATTTTAATCTATGAATACCAAGAACCTGGACAGGTCCACAGTCTGTTGAAGGGCAACACAGAGAAACAACCATGCACACACTCACACCTGAGAACAATTTAAAGAAGCCAATTAACCTAACAGTCATGTTTTTGGACTGCGGGAGGAAGCCGGAGTACCCAGAGAGAACCCATGCATGCACAGGGAGAGCATGCAAACTCCATGCAGAAAGAAAGGTCACAAAATTTGTTAGAAATAACACATTACTAAGACCCTCAATCAAGGTGGAAAACATTTTGCCCTGCTAGATAAAGCTAAACATTTACTAAATGCGCTATAAATATTATTTACTGTTCCCCTATTATACTGTATCTTAGTTAGTGTTTATTGATCTTGGGTAAAATGTCAAGAAAGTCAAAAAGTCATATAAATAGAGATTGGTCAGAATGCAGAACAAAGCTATTAGAATTGCCATAACCTTGGATATATAGATCATACCAATATTCTATTCCTTCAATCACGTATTTTTATGAATTGGTGCAGTTTAAGACAAGTTCGATGCAAGAAATAAGTTACTTCCAGAAAAATATTTAAAAAAAATGTTTGGCGAGTTATAATTTTTTTTTTAAATAGCATTTTTTCCTTTCACTAAACAGAAATGTACTAATTTGTGTTGGTTTATAAAATAAAATTAATGATTGATGATACGATTACACCAGTAAAGTGATAAAATGTGAACAGTTAAAGTATTATACATACAGTATATTTGCTGTATAGTTGTATGTATAGTTTGTTAGATTAGAGGAAGATGCAGCCTGCTTAGAACGTGCTCTCGGACACAATGTTATGGTCCCTAGTGTATGGAGAAAGTCTGTGTTTTCATTGTCAGGGGTGCGTAAACAGACCTCATGGAGATGGAATGACTCTTTTATGTGAAATTAAATAAGATCAACTTGTGGGCCTCTCTCCTTCCTGTTCCGCCTTCAGTTTTATGTTCGTTTCCACTCTTGAACAAAGCTGTCTCTCCACGGTGTATTAATGCCCATCAAAGGCCTCAATCAAGCCTCTTTGCCACAGGCTAAAGTCAGACTGGAGAGGCTAAAGTTTAACGTTGTCGGAGCAGTGAGGGTGGGGGCTTATGTCTCTTCTATGCCCTTGAGTTTTTGTTTTTTTAACCGCCACATTCATAAATATCCCCAAAGCATGTTTAGTGGCAGAGAAAATCAGAAAACGAACCACAATAAAAGGTCAAGTGAGGGGCCCTGATTGTGACAATAGTCTTATTCATTGAGCCATTCGGACAATGTATTTATATGTTCTACTGAGGAGGCGAAAAATGCATGACATAAAACATAATTAGGCCGGGTTTCCTAAAGAATTAGTTACGGCTGAGTCAATTGAGACATAGTTTTGGAGAATCCGGTGATGAGAACGGTTTTAGAAGAAGCTGCCGACTGTCTGCTGACATTTTCTCTTCCTGAGTGAGAATATGTGCTTTGTATTAGGCTTAATTAAACTTCCTTAATGTTTTTGGCCTCAACTATTGGCCATTTGTATGGAAGGAATATCAAGAAAAAATATTGATTCAATTACAAAGCAACACAAGTTATTTGGAACTGAAAGGGAATTTTATAATTAAATGTGCTTGAATAAGCGGTTGTCCTGCATGTTTGCTTTTTCCATGAGTTAATCTCTTATTAAAAACCTGTAAAATACAAACATGTTTCTTAAAAGGGGATGAATGTTTTATCTTATTCTTAATAGATTCAGTTAAATGGTTTAAATGTTAAACCTCTGCCATCAGTAATGACCTCTTTTTAAAGGAATTCGGCTGAAAATTTCACTTTTTCAAAACAGATAAACATGTGTTTACTGTCGCTAAACTTAAAGTTTATTTTCTTTTAGTAACCGAGGGCACAAAACCCTCTTATCTTGTTTGAATGTGTATCTGTGTGTGTCTATGTTTGTTCTATTATTCCCTGCAGATGGACCTTCTGTCAGGAGGGAAGCTTTTATGCTCCGCGCCAGAAAACTGACACATCAATAATTTTTAAGCAGTGACGACCACAGTCCTTCCCACTCCCTCACTGACCATCCTTGGCTTTAAAAGAAAAACTCCGTGAATGGTTCTTATAACAAAGCAATTACAACTAGAAAGAAGCAGGATCTTTCCTCCTCCCGACATGAAAGAGTTTTCTCGTGACCATTGTGTGAACCGACCTCAGAATATGCAAAGGGAAATAAATACCACACTGTTTTCCACCATAATTTCCAGAGTTGCAGACATCTTGGAGCTACCTTGCTGGTAAACAACAACAAAACCCAGCTCTGTGTATGTGTACTCGCATTTTCTATTTACTGCTCAGTTTTTATTTCCTTTCAGATCACAAAAAAAAACGTCTTCAGATATTAATAACATGTGGCAGAGTGCTGAAAACATAAATGTTTCATTTCAGCTGCCATCCACTAACATCTCACTCCTATGAATAGCACAGACAGATAGAAAAGCAGCCCTGCAGGTTGAAATTCGGTCCAGCGATTATTAAGTCTGGTTCTGTGCCATAAATCACACTGCTGACATACAGATGGACAGAGCTGAGAGTAATTAGATATATGTTTTAGTGTAAGAGATGAAACCTAAGTGCTGTAAAGTAATTGGGCCAACCTCTCCCAAGAGTTACACACACACTGCTGTATGTGCGTGTTTTTTTATATATATATATATATAATTTTTTGTTTTGCCATTTTTTTTAGATGAAGAAGAGATGCCTCTCAGTCTCAGGGGCTCAATTTGAAAACCAATCAGCAGTTTTTAACTCTTCTTTCGCTCACTTACGTTTTCTCCTTTTTTTTTTCTTACTCACACATGTGCATATAAGAGTGCATGTGTGCACCATGTGTGCATGACTATGTGAATACATTTGTGTCTTCAGTGCAGTGTGCCGGCATATAGATTTTACTTTGAGGGTGTCATTTTTTGCACTTTGCTTTTTGGCTGGAGATCCTTTCAGGAATGTATCAGTGCGATGTTTGTATTTCAGTTTTATATTCAAGATTTTTTTTATTTCAATAATAGTATACATGCAAAAACATACTCTGATATATATTATAGACCACCATCTAACAAAAAAAGCATGCACATTATTGTTATTATCTTTTCATCTTATTTTATATATACTATTTTGTTTTATCCATTTATATTTAATAGCTTGTGCAAGTGAATGTATTTTAGTAAGTTGAAACCTCATTCGACTGTGCAAAATGACTATAGGTATAAAAAGAAATACATTTATCAGAATAGTGTGCATTGTGTGTATGCTCTGTATTATCTGTAGCTTATTTAAGTTTTGCTAAAAATCTTAACTTTTTACAAACGAAAAAAAAAACTCTGATGGTAAAAATATAATCCACGTGCAAGATAAAGAAAAAAGCAATTTTAGAGAGTGTTTTCCCGATTAAATGTATGTTCCATTAAAAGACAGAGATTTATGTTTCAAGTATTTTAAATGGGAATTTTATTGTCGCTCCTAAAATGTTCTAAAATAAATGCGCATAGTTCTGACTGCTGCGCACTGGATAGCAAGCTTTTTATATTGGTGTCATGAAATTCTTCAATATTCCCATTTCTAAAGACTGTTTTTTTTTTTTTTTTTTTTTGCCTTTTTCTATTTTTTGTTTGTTTTTTGTCGTTTTTTGTGCAAATTTCAGAGTTTTAAATTTAATTACATGCGTATTTTTAACCAGATTTAATGTATATTTTTTATAATAATTTCAAATTTTATTAACAACAATTTCGTTGTTATCCCTTGATGTCAGGTTTAATGATTAATTATTTTTTTATGTTAGGGTTAGGGTTAACATGGTCAGTAAAATTCCTCTTTTTTTTATCCTTTAGCGCACCCATGTTTTTGTCTCTCTATAATAATATCATTAGGCAGCGAATGACTAAAATCCCTTTTGAACCATGAAAGGCTTCTTTCACACTTTAAAAGACACACTTTCTCCCTCTCTCTCCGCCCCGGTGCTATCCGTCACCCATCGCTTTTTATTCATCTCCAAATTACATTAATGTCATGTGTTGAGCCCCACGCCCCTGTTTTCCCATTTTTTTCCTTTCTTTTTTAGCAAATAAGTGACCTTACTCGTTCATGTCACCAACATAATCACTTGGGAGAGATCCTGAGGCCGGGAGATCTGGCTCCAATCCTCTGAGGGGAGACGGAGGTTTGTGTAACTTTACTCAAACCTGAGGGGGAGTTCGGAGTGTTTGGTCAACGGCAGAGGTTCCTGGAAAAGATCTGAATCGTTTCATAACCAAACCCAGCTGCGGTTCTGCTGCGAGCTGTGTTCTCTGCCTGCGTGCGTGTGTGCGCGTTTTTATCTCAATGAGGTAGGAGTAAAAAAAAAAAGTCTCAGGAGGAGAGATAGATAGAGTGGGAGGGAAAAGGAAAAAAAAAATCTTTTTTCCTCTTGACTATTTTTTTTTTTAAGCATGAACGCAGAGACCTGTGTCCCATACAGCAACATGACATCTATGGATTCATATTATAGTCCTTCTGTTGCTCAAGGTAGGGATCACCAGACGGACCACTTTAGGACATTTCCAGCTAGTGACACCAAATACAGCCCCACCGCCTTCTTGTCCGGCAAAGGTCAGGCTTACGGAGAGAAGTCCCGGAGCCCCTTCCAGCAGGAGTGCCAATCATTGGATGCCTCTGCAGCTGGGCAAGGCTCTTTCAGCAAATACCACCTCTTCTTGCAGAGGTCGTCCAGCAAAACACCGCCCGCGGAGGACAAGCTGCATCCAGAGAGAGGACACAACGGAGGACTCGTCCCGTGCTATGGTGAGTGGGAATAAAAAAAAAAATATATATATATATATATATATATATATATATATATATATATATATATATATATATATATATATATATATATATATATATATATATATATAAAACAGAAAAGTGGATCTTAAAAAAATAAATAAAAGACATGGAGCATCCTTCTAAGCTGCGCACAGGACAGCGGCGCGCAAAAAGATGAGCCTGCAGCTGCAGCAGTCTGGATGAACCTCCCTGTCCTCCAACTATTAAATTCTCTGTTTGGACATCAAAATCAAATTAGGGCGCCATTAATGCGCTAATCTGCATTACAATCCTTAAAATTGAAACTGAGTCGGACAATTGAATTAACGGGTTTTCAGATGGGAGTTTTAAACTGGTAATATTTGTGTAATTGCGCGGCCTAATTGGGCCCTGTTTGATTCATGTTGCGCCGGGAAGGCAAGTCAAATTGATGACTTTATAAGATTAGGAATAAAACTTTGGTTTCTTAAGTTTAAGGTTTAGTACAAATCATAATAAATGACAGAAGTTAGATATTTTCATTATGGGGAAAAATGCAGAGATGCATGAAAATTGCCTTAAAATAATTAAAAAGAATAATATAGATATTTTTTTGTTTAGAGTGTTCTGCTTTAAATGATTAAACAATGAATACAGTTTGATCCAGCATCAATGGAAAAACTGCGCTCAGGTGTTATTCTCGCAAGACTTTTAACATGATAGGAACTTCCTGATGAACTTATTTGGGCTTCATAGATAGCTTAGATTCTTTTATGTAAAAAAAATGAAAGAAAGATAAACGGATAATGCTCTAAATTTCCAGTACTTTTAAAAATGATGTTGATGTTTAAATGACAAAATAATTAATCATATCATATCCTTTTTAGGATATGATATGGAGCATTTTACGCATGAGGCGCATCTTTATATTTCGCTGCAACTGTTGAACGTGTATATCCATCATTGCAGCATTGAATAGGAAAATGATTTCAAAGTTATTTAGAAAGCTTCTGGTAACTCCTTTATGGGTCCATCTCGTCAGGAACAGCGAGACAGTTTGGTTTTTTTTTGTCATTCTTTCTTGTTTAGCCCATGTGGGTCTCCTCAACCAGGCTATTACGTTTTTACCACCCATTAAGCCTGACATAGATCCGGCGAAAGAAGATGAAATAAAATTTTATATTATGTTGTAAACGAGGCACGCTTGTTAGGCTGAGCTTAAAAACCGTAAACACTTAGCTCAGGAAACGGGATGGGGCGAAATATATAGGATATATATAAATACACTGAAAAAAAATAATGCAACATGTTTTTGGCATTTCAGATTTAGCTACTTTAAAACAATTGTTTCATGTTAGCAGGGTAGGACAAAAAAACAATTGTGTTAAATTAACTAAACATGATTAAGTAAATGCCAAAATATTTATTTCAGTGATAAATATACATACATATATATATATATATATATATATATATATATATATATATATATATATATATATATATATATATATATATATATATATATATACACATATATATATTTAAATGTATTAAGTAAAATGGAATGGAATGCGCCCTTGTGTTCTTATGTTATAGCAAAGAGGTTTAATGGTCAGATTCACTGTGAAGTAAAGACAGGGGAAAAAACATCTCGGCCCTAAAACAGAGGAACTGCGCCATTAATATGACTCAGATGTCAAACTTCTCTGTTTGCTCCTATTCTCCCCCCTGCTCACTTCGACTTGACCCCGCACCTACTAAAAAAAGTACCTCCTCGAGCTCAGGATCAGAGCTGTTTCTGCTTTAATCGTGTTTAAGATCATTTCACTGAAGCCCAGGAGAAATTAATAACGACTCGCGTGATGTATCAGACTGAGAGCCAGTTTGGAGGCTGGTTTAACTCCTGATTATCTCTGATTGAAGGGGTTTTACTGACTTCTGACTGAGCTGAACTAAAGTAAAAATATTCTGAACTTACTATTAGACGGGGGGAAAAAGATCTATGATTCTTCCTGGAGGTTTAAATTCTCAAAAATGTGCTCAGTTTTGTCATTTATAGCCTGATATTCTCAGGTGGTTGCATTTACTGATCTCTGATCTGTGTAATATAAAAGTTGTAAGCCTTACCTGAAGAACCTTTGTCTGACAGAAAGCAGTATGATCCTGTAATAAACATATACCTACATTTGAATCATTAAAGATTGTGTTTGCAGCCAGCAGGATGTCAGTCATGCTGCTGTGTGAAAATGAGGAGAGGGAAGAGCTCAGTGAGCTGACACACTGACTGAATTATGAAGAGAGTAAGAGGAAATACACGGAGAAGAGGACACCGATTTAATGCTATGATGTAGGGATGCAGGTCTAAAAACTTGAAAACATAATCAACTATTAAAGAACTGCAGAACAAGTGCAAAAATTAGCTATAGTAGAAATACTGACACAAAAAAGAAAGTATTCCAAAAGAACCCAGTGGGTTCCCCCTAAAATAGAGATAAGCGCCACTGATAATTCTGGCCAGGTGAAATAAAAACCTACGACTAAAGTTCAGGAATTTTAGAGACAGGAAGGAAAGTCCGATGTTTTATATGTGTATCTATACATCTAGACATAGTTATACAGGGAAAGATACAATAAAGACATCAGAATAAATAGATAAGTATGCTACTACTCTCAGATAAAAAGTAATGTCCATTCCTTAATTCATATTATTAGAAAAAATATTGCACACATAACAAATGATAGCGGGATTGTCCTCCGTTGGTACTGCCACTGATATCCCAGGTTTTTCCGTAAATGTTTAGTTATAAAAATCATCATCTTTAGTCTTACGTCTTAGAAGCATAAACACTGTCAGACACGTCTCCCGCGGCGACATCCCCCCGTCAAGAAAAACATTTCTAAAATCACCCAAAGATCCTTGACAGATTACAAGAAAGTCTGCTGCTTAGAAGGGAAATATAAAGGAAAGAGTAAATGATTAAACACAGTTGCCTGCTGGTTTGGAAATCAAATGACATTGTGAATAGAAAAATATTGGAAATGCTTAACAGTAGAAATCACAAAGAGAATTATTAGAGAAAAAGCTTTTCAAGCTTAAACATCCGTGGATGGATGGATGGATGGATGGATGGATGGATGGATGGATGGATGGATGGATAATCAGAGTAAGCATGAAAAATATATATAGTCGGTCTCCCTGCAGGCTACTTGGGGTCCCTGTGAATCTCCAGAGACTTCCTCTTTTGATGTCTTAGTGTCTTCCCTCAGTATCTGCGGGTGCTGACCTTTAACTTGGCTTCTCTGCCTTTTGTCTGTTTGGAGAAGAGGGTGAGTCCTTCTCGCTTCATATAGCAGAAAATCTTCCAAATCCCCAAGCTGAAAGTCTTTCGTGTCAAAGAAAAACTACCTGTAGTATTCAGCATTGGACATCAGTTTAATGGGCCCTATTGTAACAGGTTTATGCTTGTGATGGTTTGTCATATTAGACCTGTAGCAAACTAAACACATTAAAGCTCATTCTTTGCTTATTTAGCCATTATAATTCTGCAAGCTGGAGATGTTGTTCTTCGTGGCCCTCAGAGGTGATTAAACACTTTAGGTATGATTTCAACACCCAGTGAGATTTTGTCACTCCTCTTGGTTTTCGGTTTCTTTTACAGTTTTTGAACAACACAACCACTTTAGTCTCTGATAACAGTCGTCTGTACAGATTGGTTGGAGCAGGGCGTAATGAGAACCAGCCCGCAGCCCGGAAGGTCGAGGAACGCTTCAGCAAGTCCCTGACATGAGTGGAGGTGACAAGGACTCAGGATCGTTTTACCATTTGCTCTAAAGTTTGGCAGGATAATTTACATTAGTCTGAGTTTGCATGGTCGAGTGAGAGCAGTGGGACAGAAAAAAGCTTGTGAAGTCCATGAGTTCTTTTGGTCTCGGCGAGGCTGTGTCATGTAAACTGAAGTCTCATACAGAAGCAGGACTGGATAAGACTGGATAAACAGAGCAAATTAAAGGTTTTTAATGCTCGGTGTAAAGCCAGGTCAAAATCTCAAAGGTTAGTATGTTGAGCATTATGAATTCTGTACAGTTTAATCATTTAAACGCAGTAAATTTTAAATGCTTGGCTGCAGAATTTAGCAAAATGTGTTAAGTTAATTGACAAAAATTAGACATATTACTTTTTAATTTTTTCTAATTTGTTTATGTGGTAAAAACTTGGTGTTACTGAATTGGTTTCACAGAGATTGCTTATACACTGCAAAAATGTCTTCTCTTGTACCCTTCATTTTAGTAGGTAAATCGGATGATATGCCAATGGAATGAATATTTTTAGTCTTAAATAAGATTACAGTATTAGATAATATGCACTTGAAATAAGACATTGCGGTTGCTTTTTCTTATTTTAAATGTAAATTGTCTTGTTCAATTGGCAAAATATCTCACTTACCTCCTCAATTCAAGAACAAATGCACTTATTTTAAGAAGAAATGACATATTTAGATATAAATTTTTTGCACAGTGTAGAGAGGATGTCTAGAGTTACCGTGCTGGAACAAAATTACAGGAGATTTCTATTTGTTTTTCTGGATTTTTACATATTTCTAGCCACAGTTCACAGAGATAACCTTGAGACAAATGCATTGAGGAAGTTGATACTTTTTGCTCCCTAAATTAGCACCTTAAAAACTAGATTTTTATGAACATATATGGAAATTTTCAGTCATCCGGGTCATGGCAACCAGAAACAGGCTGAAATTGGAAGGAAACTGGACTTTTGCTTAGTTTTTGTGAAGGCTTTTCGATACCTATCCACAGATCTTTGTGAATTCTGTTTTCTCGCAGCAGTGCAGTCTCTAGTTGGAGCACTGATGTGTTTATGCAGCGTGGGCATTCTTATTACCTTTAACCTCTGTATAAAGAAGTGGTCTTCTGGTTTGCGTTAATCCCAAATCCTTCTTTTCAATTTCATAAACATAAACCATTTAGGTGGTGAGCGG